ATATGAAAATGTGCAATGGGCTTTTCGCTGATAAAAGGCGGAGTTATCATATCGAAAAGAATGTTATTAGGCGCATAAATACGATTTCAACGATCAGTTAAATTCATCATCATTACTATTATCATTCAGTTTGCCAGTGTTCCCTTCCGGTCATTTCATAGATATCAGAAAAAAATGCCGATTTTTTAAATCTTCCAAAGTCCATTCTTTTTTCTTAATAAATTTTTATCTTAAGATTATCTCAGTTTTTTAGACTTTTTTAATTAATTTTTCTTGTCTTTTTTTTAAAATTTTAAATTTTTATAGAAAAATTATATGATTATAAATTATAAAATTATATGAAATGTAAAATTTTTAAAGAAAATTTTCATTTTTGTTTTCATTGAATTTTGTGTTAGTGTAAATTGAAAAGATGTTTATTTAGTAAAAAGAAAATGTCTGAAAAAATTTTTCGCTTCTTTTTTCCCCTTTTAAATTAAATTTTTTCTTTAAGTATACATTTATTTATTTATTTTCTTTAAATATACATTTATTGAAAGAAAAAAAATAAGAAATTTTCTTACCTCAAAAAGTTTTTTTCTTACATTTCACTGATTCGTTTTAAAATAATTTAACGATAATCTTTGATTTTATTTCATTTTGATTATTTTTTATTTTCATCAAATTTTACAAATTTTATTTTTTTTTCATTTCATTTATTTTAATTCATTTCAATTCATAGTATTTTTTTTCTTTTCGTATAACTTATTATTAACTAATAATTTTTAAAGGAAAAATATTTCTTTCAGCATATATTTATGTGTGTTTGTGTATTTTTATTTATATTTTAATTAAATTCATGTAATATAAATAAATAAAATTTATTTTTACTTATTCTAAATAAATATTCAAATTCAATATTTTAATGATGACTTCAATGGCATTATTAGCTCAAAATGGTTCACGAAATAATTGGTCGGACATCGATTGTCGCTGGTTTGATAATATTTATAATATACAGGTTACTTTCATTAACTATATTATATCATATCATATCATATCATTTTACTAAGATAATTTTTGAAATAAATTCGAAAGGCAAAAAATAATCGAGTAATGAAAAGAAATTTAATTTGAATGAAAAATAAAAATATATAATAATTTTAGAGTTTTTTATATCAACAAATATAAGCACCAAATATATTTCGAAATGAAATCGTTTTCTAAATTTTTTTTTAAAGAAATTTCTAACAAATTTCAACATTTTTATATTTTAAGTTTTGAAGCTTATATTAATGCCTACGTAGGCGATTTCTTATCTTAATTATGCTTTATTTTTCAATTCCAATTAAAATTTGTTCTGTTTTTTTGATGACCGAATTTTTCAAAAAATTGGCTAATAAAGTCTTTTATAATATATATTTATATATATAAAATATGAAAATATAAAAATATATATATATAAAATATAAATATAAAATATAAAAATATAAAAAATAAATAATAAATAATATGATAAAAAAATATAAATAGAAGTTATTCAGAACATTATTCATCAAGATTTGAAAAAATCTTATTCTAAATCTTATTCTCGCCAGTGGAAAGAATCAAACGAGCAATGGTGCGAAGAATGAGATAAATAAGATAATGAGAAGCGCGTTTTTGAAAGATTTTAAATGAAAACTATGAAAAGTACGAAAAATTTGAGTTGTTAGAAAATTTTTTCAGAAAATTAATCAAAGAAAAAATATTAATGCATTAAGAAAAATTGAGCTATTCAATAATAATTTTTCCATTTTTATTTTTTTTTTGAGGTGATATGATAAAACTTCAATTTCAGAATTTTTTTTTTTAGGCAATATATATGAATTTAACATTTTTAAAAATGTTGATTATGTGCTTTTCCACACAAATGAACTCGAAAATATTAAAATATTAAATATGTCTATTTTCCGAAAAATATTCGTCAATTTTTTTGAAATAAATTGTAGACTTTTTTCATTATCGTAATGCTTTTAATTCATTCTCCGACTTTAAAAATTACTCCTTTTTTTTCCTTCTAAAAACGCTCAAAAAATTCTATTTTGACTTATTTCGCTGGCTTATCTAGCCAGGTAAATTTATTCAGGTAGTCACTTGAAGCGTAAAATAAGTCATCAGCAATAACATCGACATCATATCAAATTAAAATGGCTGTTAGAGAACTCGTTGAAATTTGCCGTGAAATTTAGTTTTTAAATAATATTCCTTCAAAAATTAAATCGATTAGATAAATATATTGTAGAAAAAAAAATTTTCTTTATCATTCTTTTAGATGTTAAAAGTTCCTCTGCCAGATGCATGGGAATTTGAACGTTGTTCCCAGGACTACGCTCTTCTGGACAAAGATTGATTCCCATATTCTTCTGAATTCTATTAGAACCATTTTTCTAATTTTATGTCCTAGGTTTAGTTAAATTTAGGTCATTCATGCTATCACTACGACTACTTTGGCCTTCACTTTCCACATCTCTAGTTTCTCTTTCAGTCTCTAATATTTCTCTAGTTTCTCGTGCTCTAGTATATATATATATATATAAATTAATAAATGTAATTATTTTAAAAAAATATAAATTAATAAATGGAACAAATGCCCATTAACAAAGCGATTGGTCTCTAAAATTTTCGACAAATTTTTAGAATTTTTTTGCAATATACTGAAATATTTAACAAAATGCAAAAAAAAATCAACAGATTTTTGTTGTTATTTTTTTATATAAAACAAATGCCTCATCATAAGACTTTAATTCATTTTAGCATTAAAATTTCAAATAAGATGAATAAATATTTGAAAGAGGTGAAGAAATCCTCAATTCTCAATTTAAATAATTAATTGCCTTAAGGCCCATTAAAAAACATTTAGCATTATAATAGTACAATGAAATTTGGGAAGAAAATTGCACATAGAGTTTTATTCATTTTGACTTTTAAAAAAAGCATTATTTTTTAATAATAATAAAAGTGTTGTTTGAAATCTAAATTCATTTAATTTTTACCAATAATTTTTTCAAACTAATAATTCAATACAAAAAAAATCTATAAAAAATAGATTATACTTTGGAGAAAATTTTTTTTATAAGAAGCTCTTATCAACTTTCGTCACTTATCAACTTTCGTCATTTTTCTATAATTTTTAAATTTTAGAAAATTTCTAAAAAAAAAGCAAAAATATTTTATGATATTTTGAAATAAATTTTAAAATAAGAACTCGATTTATGTTTTGAAATAAAGAAAATGTTTCTTTTTTACTGCAAATAGGAAATTCTTCCTTTGGATTCTCTAAAAAAACAAATGGATTATGGTTTTTTTATTGGCAATAAAGCAAATCCACTGTAATAATAAAAATTTGAGAAATTAAAAAAAAAGTTGATGATAAATTTTTTAAAAAATATGAATGGTTAATGATAAAACAAAATTTTATTGACAAGATTAATGTCACAATTATTCCTAAAATCTTTTATACAATATTAATTTTATCAATTTTTAATCTCTTATACAATCAGTTTTAAATTATCATTTAACTTATTATAATAAATAAATAATTAAACTTATCTTTCTCTTTAATTTCAATTTTAATCTTTTTTTCTTGCTCTCTTTTTGAGAAAATTCTTATTCGATTAAAAATTTTTATTGCTTTTAATATTCGTTGGTTTTATTTTTTAATTTTTACTAAATTCAATGAAATTAAAATCCGAGAAATTAATAACCCAGACATTCAATATTATTCAATATAAGCAAAATATCTCAATAAAATATTCATTATTTTTATTTCTAACTAAAAAAAAAATTTTTTTTTCTAATCTTAAATCGTTAAACATCTTCCTTAATTGAATGAATTGAGGCATTAATTGCAATGAATTAAAGAACGAATAAAAATGATAAGAAATTAAATGATTTAAAATGAAAAAAATTATTCAAAATCATAAAAAAAGAAGGAGTACTTTTGCTTTAAAAAACCTTTCAAAATTGATCAAAATTGAGAATTAAGTTTATCATTTATCAATTTCAATTAATTTCATCAATTAATATCAATTTCTATCAATATCGCACAATAAATCTCATTAAAATTTAATAATGGAATACACCAACTGCCCCATTAATTTCAATTAAATTATTTCATGAAGCCTTTAATAAATAAATAAATAATTTGTTTGAAACAATCATTTTGAAACACTCTTAAATTTTTACGAATTTTATATTTTTTCTACTTTAGAATTCGAATTCTTAGATTTTCACTCGATGATTAATGCCGATTGTTTCTTTTGTAAAAAAAAATTTAAGTTCGAATTTTGAAACAAATTTTGAATTGAAAATTTTTGCAATTCCTTTAGTCGATTATTTAGTATAAATTTATTTAGTATAAAGTATAAATTTTTTAGGAAAATTTGCTTTTTTTCAGACCAAGGAATTATATTAAAAAAAATTTTTTTTTTGTCTAAAAGCTTCGTCTTACGCGATCAAAATAAATTATTCCTTCCTTTTTCTTATTTCCGCCGTTATTTTGCGAAATATCTTTAAAAAAATAAATAATTGAAATCATTCCTCAGCAAATGAAATTAAATGAATTGCAAATTTATGGAATTAAGGGAACAATATTAAATATTTCAGTTAAACTATAGAAATAAATAAAAAAATAAATAAAAAAATATAATAAATATTTAAGAAATGGCAATTTTATTTGATTATTAAATGGAAGATAAAAATTTATAGCTGAAATTTTATCACTTTATCAACTTATAACTGAAAATTATCAATAAAAATTTGGAATATGAAAGCTTAAAAAATACTTTCTACTAGATATTTTTATAAAAAAAAATAAAAAAAAATATAAATATAAATTATAAAAATAAAAATGAATAGAAAAGATTGAAGATTCAACTTTATTTTTTTTTTTTTAGCACAACTTAATTTGTTTTTCTTTTTTTTTTCTGACTGATTGCTCAAAATTTAAGTTAAAATTAGCGTTGAATGAAAGGAAATAAATGCATTGTTCACGAAAAATTATGGAAAGGCCATAAAAAAATTTCAGCAGTTCAACACTAAGGTTTATCATTTTTTATAGATACACAATGCAAAGTTAGCGCTTCCTAAGGTAATTGCATTTGTTCTGCTAGTAGAAAAAATCCACAGAAATTTCAGGACTTCAGGGAATTTTCTGGTGGAATAGAAGCTTTATTGTGCTGGTCAATAGAATAAACCAAAGAATAAATAAGCTAAAAAAAAAGAGATTTTTATTCGCAATTCACCCAGGCTTTCTTGCATACCTTAATAATATCCATTAGAATATTTTTGAAAATTTTAAAAGTCAATTTTCAACTTTATTTAATTATATTTAATGATTGATCATAGGGTTTTTAAAGTTAAAAGTCCAAATAAATACACATTCAATATTCCAAAAAAAATACTTCGAAAAAAAATTATATTTATATTGAAAAAATTTTTTAAGAATAATTTCTACTGGAAGCATAAAGGTGCAACATATATACTAATTTTATATGGTCTTGTATGCACATTTGGTGCAATCGCGAATCTCCTTGTATTGGTTGCATTCTTACGAACGTCACATCTTCGAAATCTTCGTAATTATTTTATCGTTAATCTCGCCGTATCAGATCTTTTATTATGTGTCATAACTGCTCCAGTAACTTTATATTTTTCATTAAATCTTTTTTGGCCATTTGGAAATTTCGCATGTCAGACGGTGAGTTTTTTTTTTTTTTCATTATTTTTATTTCGCTTTAATTTTATTATAGTTTTTATTATTTCATTTATATATTTATTGTATTTTTTTTATTATGCAATTTTATTATTTTATTTTGAAATTTTTGTGAAATGCGTGAAATGTTCATATTAATTTATTCGATATTTAAACGTTCCAAATGAATGAAATAGAATAAAAATAAAATTGAAGAATTAAGGGCTTATAAGAAATTCGTTAAAGCCAAAATTAGCCAATCTTTTGACCAATTTTTTTGCATCATCGAAATTTGTGTCCAATATGTGTAAAGATTATTTTTAAATCGAATAGAATAGGGCGAATTTTTTTTTTTTATAAATTTTATTTTTTATATCATTAATAGAAAATTTAAAATATAAAAATTATAAAAAAAGTAACTAAGCCGATAGCCATAATTAAAGCATAAAATACTAAAGCAAGTGGATTAGAATATATATCGGTTTGAATTAATATAGCGAAGAAATTTTTTAAAAATAAAATTAAATATTGATAGTGGTGTAGAAGCTATTTCAAAGTAGGCAATTTATTTCAGTGATTAATGATTAATGCCGCGATTGATATTTTATCATTCTAATCTTTTTGCAAATAGAATTTTTACTATGCCTTTGGCTATTAAATCGAACAATAGCCAAATTTAAAAAGTTTTCATAATATTTTCTATTATTTTTATAATACTCATTAATTTAATTATCAGTATTTCAATTCGTAATCACTTATAAAAATTGAATGATAATTATAATAACAGAAAAAATTTTCGTAAATTTTATATTTTCAATAATTTTAATATAAACTAAAATTTTCTAGAAAAGCTTTTTTTAACATAAAAAATAAACAAAAATTTGCATTTTTCAATAAATTATTTCTTTAAATAGAAAACAATCGAATAATCTAAAATTCCATTATTTGTTTGTTCTTTAATACACATTTTTCCCATTATAATAATTTCGTCAAAATCGTTCTTTAATAGCAAACGAACGCAAATCGCTAAATCGCAATTTCACTAATAAAAATATATTTTTTATATATTTGAAAATTTCAATATTTCATTTAATTAATAAAAAAAATTTTTCGACGGCTTTTGAATTATTTAAAATTTTTATATAAAAAAAAATGCAATCATTGCAACTGTTTTCACAATTCGCATAAAATCGCTTTTTTAAACATAAAAATAAGATTTTCATAGAAAACATTTAATGCAATTTAACTCGATCTTTTCAAAATTTTCCATTCGTAATTGAAATAAATTGAATGGATTTATAAATAAAATTTTTTTAAACAATATTCCTTCTTTATTTCTTTAATAAATGAAATTTGATAGATTTCCAGTTTAATTTGCATATCTTCCATTATCAGCTTTATTTTTACCTTAATTGATTTCACTAATGATAAGAGTAAGAATGATATGTAATGATAAGAATAAAGTTGCAAGCTTTTAAGTAAAATTTTTCTTATTAGTTCGTTCATGACAATTGATTAAAATGTTTGCGAAAAGAATATTCGCAGAAATACCTCCATAGATTAAAGAAAAAAAAATTGATAAAGGATAAGATTGCTGCGATGCGATAATAATAAACTAATTATTAATTAAAAAAGGATCATCTTTCTATTATTTATCTAAATTTGCATTATTTACAAGCAAAATTTATTTCGTTAGAGAGTATTAATAGAAATAAGTTAGATTTATTTATTTATTTTCAACATAATTATCATCATATGCCATTGTATGTTATTTGGAAAAGCAAAAACAAGAATAATTTCGACCTGAAATTTTTCTAGCCTTATAGCTTCATTTTTTTAGCCTTAATTCAAGTTCATTTGGGAAAAAATTTAAGGCGAAAAAAAGAATTCAAGCTAATTCTTAATTAGGCAATGTTTTGCAAGATGCAAAATCTTCTTTTTTGCTCTTTTAATTTTTTCAGTGGTAATTTTTCTTCGTTTCTTCAAAATAATATTCGAATAAATAATTATTTATTTCTTGAATTTTTCCATAAAGAATAAATTGTTTATTTTTTTTTTAAAATTTTCATAAATAATAAATAATAATAATAAAATTTTTATTATTGCAGCTTGCATCAATACAAGCTGTGAATATGTTTGTTTCTTGCCTAACGCTTGTCTTAATCGCTATGGATAGGGTACTTTTAACGATGTGTCCAGTTAAATGGTTGGCTATCTTTATTTATATTTCTACTATTCTATTTATTTATTTTTTATTATTTTACTATTATTACTATAAATTATATTTGTTGTTATTATTAGTTTTAATAAATAGAATCATTTTTATTTTTTACATTAATTTCTTTAGTAAATTTAGTAATTTAGTAAATTGTTTTCTGATATTTTTAACGAAAATTTTTAGAAATCTACGAAACAAATTTTTATTTATTAGATATAAATGAAATAAAATTTTTTATTTATAAGATGATTGGTACGTTTTCGTTTCGCGAGTGAAAAACCATTCCAAATAATGATTTGACTTAATAAAAGAACATTAATATGTTATGTGTTGCACAATTCATTTTTTTAAAAATTCATTTTTATTAAAAATTCATTTTTTTTTAAATAAATTTAATGATGGATTAAGAAATTTAGAAAATTTAGAAAATTTTATTTAATAAAATAATGGATTCAAAAAAGAAAAGCAAAGTAATTATGTTCGTTTGTTCTTAATTTCTTTCTTAATTCCAAAATAAAATATTGAAAAGTAAAAATAAAATTAAAATTAATGAATTGTTAAATTTCGCAATAGAACTAAAACAATTTCATCTACTATACTATATTTTATTTTCATTAGAATTTTTTCATATTTAATAAAAACATTTGATCTTTGCAATAGGGAAAATATTGTCATTTCATGGTAAGGAATTTTTTTGACATGAAAAATGACCAATTCATGGAATTTATTCATTTAAAAAAAATGAAAAAATTTAAAGATTTCGTAACTGATAGATTAGATTTTTTCTTAATATAAGCTGTAAACAAAAGATAAATTTTAAATTCACATGAGAATTGAAAAAGATTTAGCAAAATCCGAATTCGAACAATAGAAACCTATTTATAACAATTTATCAATTATCAATAATTCTGGCAATTTTTAATTAAATGGAAGGCAAAAATAGGATAAAATAATAATGGTTTGAAAATTTTTAAATCTTAAATCCGACATAATTATCGATCCGATTGCCGATTGTGTGTGCTCGTATATTTCCAGAAATAAGCACAATTACAAAAATATCAAATAAGCCGTTAGATTCTCCGTTAGAAATTATTAACCACTCGACCATAATCAGTTTATTGGAAAAAAATCTGCTTAAAACTTTTTAATCTCCTCAGATTCATTGATAACCACATTAACGTTCCGGCCATCTTCATTATGTTTCCTTAAAATCATGAAAAAAACCTCGAAAAACCTCAAATTTGTATTTTTGCTCTCCTTCAGTTAGGAGAGGAAAAAATTACAAAAAATAAACGGTTAAAACAAAGGAATTGAAAGGAATTGTAAAGGAGATTGAGCGATTAAAAGATAGATAGAAAAATTAAGGAAAAATAATGGAGGCTTTAACCAGTTGAAGCAAAATTGAAAATTATAAGCCAATAAGTGAATAAGTTATTAATTTTGTGGTGACACCAAATGCTATATATATAACTTCTAACTTTAACTTTGTTACAGCTTTAAATAGTTTTGATGGGATTTGATAGGATTGATAATGGCATTGATGGGATTTGATGGGATTGATAATGGTATTGTTGGGATTTGATGGGACTGATAGTGGCATTGATCGGATAGTTTTCTATTAGTTTTTAGTCGATAAAATAGATTTGTTGTTCTTCGTCTTCAATCTGATGATTCGTTATAAATTCGAAAAAAAATTTACTCGCCTCAAAATTTTTTTTTGTTATTTATTTATTTTATTCAAATTTATTAAAATTAGTCGAATGCAAAAAAAAAAATTAATTTCTTGCAGAATTTTAAAATAAAATAAATTTGAAATAAAAATTTTACTTGGTTTTTTTCAAATTTATTCATAGAAACAAATTTAAGTGAATCTTTAATTAATTGATTAATAGTTATTGAGGTTTTTTTTCTTATCACTTCATTTTATCAATTAATTTTAGCATTTAATTTTACTGTTTTAATAAATAATTATTTACTATTTTAATAATTAATTTCATATATTTTTAAAAAATTTCTAATTTTCAATTTAATTAGATTTTTTTCTATTTTATATAGGCGACTTGTTGGAATGGCACCAATAATTTGCTATTGTTTTGTTTGGCTTTTATCACTAATCGTAGCTGCACCGTATTTTTTTGCTGTTAGCGCTGAAAATGTTAATATGTTTGAACCATGGAATCAGCCTTATATCGAAACAATGGTCGGTTTTTTTTTTTTTTTTTAAATATCAATTAATCTTTTTTTTTATTTATTCGTAATGAAATGTATATACATCATACATTTACCGTAATTTTAATGATCAATTTTCATCGTTAAAAGGTGATAATTAAATTTTATTGAATCGTATTTTAATAATTTCTTCTTAATTTCGTTAATGAAACACTAAAAAAAAAGATATCAATTTTCGAAGAATTTTATCGCAAATTTTTATTACTATTAGCAAAAAATAGCGAGAAAATTTGTCAGAAACATTTGCTTGAAAAGAAATATAAGTGAAAAAAATCGCAATCATTTAAAGCTATATTTTTTTTCTAACGAATTCTAATGGCATTACCGGTGATTGCTCTGGCCACTAGAATGAGAACTCGCTTACCTTAGCACCACCTCAGTACCATCCAGTTTTAAGCGCGAAGCGAATTCAAAGTTAATGCCTAAGTAGATAAAGTAACAATAATAATAACAACTAAGATACTGCCATCTTAAAATGTATAGTGCAAAACTTATAAAATTTTAGTTGAAAATTTGCAAAAAAGATCGACCACAGATTTGTATCGAAAAAACATGGCATAGATTACCATTTTCGAGGAAGACTTATACTCTTACTGTGCTTGCTATACAATATCTTTTGCCATTAACTGCATTAGCGTTCAGCTATTCACATATTGGTACTACAATTCGTCGAAGGATTAAAAGAACAACAACTATTGATATGCAAAGAAGGCAAATTATGCGTCAACGAAACCGGTTTATTTGCCTTTATGATTGTATTGCATTATATTGCAAAAAATTTAATTAATATATTACTTTTTCAAAATTTTTGTAAATTTCAACAATTAAAAAAATTAATTAATTGTAATTAAATATAATGTAATTAAATATAATTAAAATTCGAAAAATTTTTAATTAGATAAGAATTTTTTTCATTAAACTAGAAAATTATTTATTTTGTCAGAGAGGCAAAATGATTGCCAAAATGGAAATTTTTGGCATTTTGCTGAATTTTTCCGTGCTTATCAATCATAATAATCATAACCCGACTGATTATTCTATGAAAAAAATTTATTTTTTTTTCAAATTTTTCACGTTTCCAATCAAATTTTTTTTTAAAATTACAAATCGTTATAAAATATTTTCACTAATTCTCGCTCATTTTCTAATTGTGCTGCAAAAATTCATAGTATTTTTCATAGTATTTTTCAATAAAAAAAAACACTTGTTCAGCACAAAATTCAGCACAAAAATTGTGGTCATAATAATACTTTTATACGTTTTAAAAAGTTCCTTCATATATAAAATCGGTAGAATTTTTATTAAGTGTAAAATATTGGAAAAGAAGAAAATTATAAAAAAAAAAATTATGCTAATATAATAATTTAATAACAATAATAATATTAATAATAATATTAGTAATAATAATTAATAATAATAATTAATAATAATAATAGTAATGGTATTATCGTCACAAAAGCAATTAATAATATTATTACAGTAAAGCACTTTTACTATTGTTATTGCTGGTTGTAGTATATGCGGTTGCTTGGTTCCCAATGAATGCATATAATGTTTTCAATGTTTTAGAAATTATTCGCTTTTCACAATATGAGTAAGTTCAAATCATAAAATTCTTTCTTTCTTCCTTTTTTTTACCAAAATCTTCAGTATTCATTTTTTTAATGAATAATGAACTTCTTATATTCAATTAAGAAATAACTAATAAATAAAATTCTAAAAAAGACCAATTTATTTTTATTTGAATTTTTTTCTTTGAGTAAAAAATACACCGTTGAAATAATTCAAACAATGCATTTATTAATTTTTTTTTTTTTTTAAATTGAAAATTGGCAATTAATATTTCTTTACTATTCGAAAGAATTTATTATAATAGCATAAAAATCGAATAAATGAATCGAATAAAATTTAAAAAATAAATTTTCAAAAATTTCGTATCAAAATTCGATATAAATATTGCTTAGGAAAATATTAATTAAGATATATGATGGCGAGTTATTATTATTTATTATATTAATTTATTTTTTTTAAGCGACAAATATTTCAATTCGAAAAAATAATATTATAAAATAATAATAAAATAATATTATAAAATATTATAAAATAATAATAAAATAATAATATAATATATTATTATTATAATATTATTATTATTTATTATAAGCGACAAATATTTCAGTTTCGAAAAAATTGCATTTTTTGTTTCGAATTTTTAGAGTAATAAATCTATTTGTTGAAGAAAAAACTCTCGTTTTGTATTTTTTTTTACATATTTGATTCTTATAGAATTATTTCACTCTGTGGAATAATTTTTTTATGGGAAATAATGTTAGAGTGGCTCTATCCATTAATGTTCACAAAATATTCTATTCAACATTTATCAATAAAAATATAAATAGAAAAAATAAGTGCAAAAAAATCGATTTAAAAATATAAATTTATTTCAATATTTTTATATATAAAAAGCAATTAGAATGAAAAGAATCGAAAATCGAAACGAAAATTTTAAACGGCTATTATTTTAATGAAAAAAATTTTAATAAATATTTTAATCAAAAATAATAATTTTTTAATATTTTAAAGGAAATTCTATTTTTAAATGCATAAAATATTATAAAAATATTTATACGACTTAAAAAAATTTATGTGTAAAATTAAGTAGCGTTTTTCATATTAACCGATTGTTTTATTTTTAGAAATCTTTTGATTATATCGATAAATTTACTTATTTGATAGCATTGATAAAAATTTAACAAATGCAAACAAATAATTTATAAACAATATTTAATATTGAAACATTATTTAATTTATCTTTATATATTGAAAATTAATATAAAAATAAAAGAAATTGAAAAAATTTAAATCAATTTTTCTTTCAGATATATGTTTTGTCATTTAGTGGGAATGACATCGGCTTTTGTAAATCCCATAATGTATGCATTAATTAATGATAGTTTTCGAATCGCATTTATCGCTCTTTTACGACCACTCGTCACGTCTTGTACAAAATATACTATGGTGGCATTTACAGCATCAAATACTTATATATTTTGTTTCAATGCTCCGCAAACTTCGACAGTTATTCAGGTGATTTTTTAAAATCCTATTTATATATATGTATATATATATTCTATGAAGCATTTATGTTTATATATACTTTTTATTAAATGAACATAAAAATTATATTTATAACTATAAAAAATTCGGAATTTTTTTCCCACAATAAAGAAATAAAATAAAAAATTTTTCAAAAAGATTTAAAATTGCTATTTTTATCACAAAAATATAAAAAATACCAAAGATACTAAAAGTTTTATTTAAATTTTAAAAAAAAAATTAATAAATTTATTTATTAGTTAATAATATTCAAAAGTATTCATAGGGGATTTTACCAAAAAAAAAAAAATTATTTAATGATAAATGGATTAGAATTCATGTTTAATAATTTTGAAAATCGAGAAAATACATCGGAGTATTAGAATATTTTAATCAATTTCTGAATAGAAGCCAAATTATAAATTAAAAATTTTTGAATGCTAGGAAATATTGATATTCTATATTCACTGATTAACACTGATTAGGGTAATAATAGTGATATTACGTGGGAATACTGATTATTCCGGCGTGAAACCATCGACGAATTTTTTTTCATGTTGAGGAGATTTCATTTCTAAATTTCTGTGGGATTACGTAACTGAAAAAAATTTTTTAAGGAGATTTTAGTGAAATTATCTCACACAATCACCTTCCAATGACACTTATTTCTGGCCTGATTTAGTTTATTTGAATGTTAAAATGCATGTCCTGTGAGTTTCCATGAATAAACTAGCTGCTTGAATAAATATTGCTTTAAATATAAAATATATTGTTTGATAAAAAATATCACTTTTTTAATTAGCTGTTTGATTTTAAGGATGAGGCTAAGGAACAAATGATGGAAATGGAACCTAACGCTGCTAAAAAAACTAAAGATGCGAACGATTCATAGAAAAAAATATCTTTAAAATTATATTGGTACTTCTTCCACCAATTGGTGTGAAATCTAATCTATTTGTTACGTTTAAATTTGTTGCTTTTTCACTTCTCTTGCTAAAGCTTTAAAAATATTGCAAATTATTTTAGGCAATGTGTTTATTCAATGACGTTCTATAAAATGATTGAACAAATAGAAGTAGCAAAAAAAAAAAAAATTGAAGGGTTTTTGGTTTAATTAATCAAGTCAAATTAACTTTTTGCCAATATTATTAACTCCATTAATCACAGTTCGCACAATTTTTGTTATCATTGCTCAAATTGAGTGCAATGCTCAAATATTATTCGTGAAAGATAAACTAGAATTTATCATTTTGATTATCTTGAAAAAGCCATAAATTATCGGCGAATCTCAGCGATATTACTTTCCTTAAAAAGTATTCTATTCTTTTCTCAAAACGGGTTACCAACGGGTTGTCTGAGATTATTTATGGTTTTTCTTTTAATTTCTTAATTTCTTTTTTTCATATTTAATATTTCAAATGATTTCACGTATTGTATTCACGTATCATAGGATGGCTTAGCGGGCTGTTGCTCAATTCGCAGCGCCGATACTATTTCCCACAGAAGTAAACCTGTCCAAAAATCCGGGTGATACTGGCAACTCGCCTATATTCCTATCATCATGGGATTTCCTTGCATATTTGTCCAGTGCGATTTGTCAAGCCAGCGAAGCGAGTTTAACCAGTAATGATGAAAATTCTTAAAAAAGGAAAACGTATTACCTTTTAATTAAAAGCTTTATTTATAAATAATTTTATAAATGAAAAAAATAAAAAAAAGAAGTAATAATCATAATTTTGCGAGAAACAATTTCACATTAACGATTATATTTGCTCAAAATAAAAAAACAATTCATTCGTAATGAATATTGAATACTGAAAGTAGAAATACTAAAAGTACTAAAAGTAGAAATATTGAAAATAAAAAAATGGGAAAAAAAGAAAATTTAAAAAATTACGGTCGAAGCAGTCGAAAAATTTATAATTTATTGACTATTAATTTCTAAAAAATATTACTTTCATTAAATAGGTTGATTTTTTTTAAGGAAATTTTGATGAACCACAATATTTGCTAACAAGGAAAAAAAAATTAAAGAAATAAAAAAATAATGCGTGAATTTTAAATATTCTGGAAATTAAAAGCGTGAAAGGAAAGGTTTTACGTGGACTGGCAAATGATAGTGGTAGTAACAATAAACGACTTGGAATTTTAACCGTGCTGCTCAATAATATCCGTTTATTAATAGTTCTGTTATTATTATTGTTATTATCACTATTATCATTGCTATCATTACTATTGTTATCAGTATATTTTTACAATTATCATTAAAAATTTACTAATTGTTAATTTAAAAAATTTCAAATGGACCGATCATAAATTATACGCTTAATAATAAAAAATAGCGGATAAAAAATGATAAAAATATAAAATGATTTAACGCGTCTAATTTCTATTGTATTATGATCTTATTTAATTCATTTCTAAAATTAACCACAAATGAAAAGAAAATTTATTTAATCAGATAATTTGTTGTAGTTTTTGGTTAATTCTTAGCAAAAAAAAATTATAAAAAAATGCATTTCATTTCCAAAGAGGCCAAAGAAGCTTTGAAGCAGCTTAACAGTTTAAGCAGCACAAAGATTTAAGCCAAAGTTCAATGTAAAGAACAATAGATTGAATTGATTTGATTGATAAAAGCTTGATTGACTGTTTTCGACTGATAATCGCCTATAATAATTTCGTAATGGTTGGATTCATGACCATTCCTGTTTATTATAATTGTGATATTTAGACGCGTTGTAGCGTAATGATTTAGGTGGGCGATTGATATGGAATGTAGTAAGACCGATTCGGCTCGAATCATTTCCGGCAAAGTCCTTTGGAAACGTTCTGAAAACATACTTTCCCAATCTTAAGCACGAGAATCTGCATATGTGCTATACTGATATCGCAAGGATTAATAAGCTCCATGTTAGGGTGAGAAAGCAGGACTAACTGAAGAGAAGTGGTGGACCTATTGTAAGCGCTAGGTTTTGTTGGGAAAAGATAATCTGGCAAATGCTATAGGAACACCTATATGGACAAGATAAGGTACTCTGGAAGTGGTTGAATACTATTATAGCAGATATGTGTGGTACTGCGGGTTGTAGAAAGAGATGAAAGAGATTATATGAAATGTATGAAGGTTATGAGCTATAGATAGAAAAAAGATCTACATTCATATCAAACAAAATGGCTCAATCAACACTCCTACACAGCAGAAAAGAGACATTTCCTTCAGCAGGAAACGGAACTCAACATATAAGAACAAAAGTTTTCCGGAAGAATAGGAAAAAGGGAGGAAGCAAAAGTTGAGAGGCTGGAAATTGCATTCCAACATCTCTGTTGCAATTTATTAGTTTATTAGACAGTAGGAATTGTTGCAAAGTGGAACTATTAAGGCAAAAATTCATAAATAAATTGCCCTGTAATTAACATCTAGACCAAGGCTTCACCAATTAATGTGGATCGCAGCCATTGCAATTCTGGGAATGTTGTTTCAAGAAGAATAACAATGCATTTAGCATCCGGAAAAGAAAAATGGAAAATAAGACCGGAGTACCACTGCCGAGAAGTAATCCAATTGACAGAATTATCGAAAGATGAAAACTCTCCATGTCCTATGTTCTAGAGGGTACCAAATAAAGGCCCACTAGGCTAAGGTATATTAGAGAAGTAGAGATAAATGTTAAGCAGTTGATAAATATGTTTATGTTTTCCACATGTTATCCATTGTTCTCTAAGCATTTCAAAAAAAGCCAAATTGATTGAGGGCACTCAGATAAAAAATAAGAACGGCTTTTTCTTCATAAAAAAAAAGTACCAACGCTTGCCTTGGAACTTATCTAATTTAGTCATTATGATTTTTATTTTTGCCTTTAAAATTGCAGTTTTCAACCAAATTAATAAATTTGTACTTGCTCAAATAAATCTTTCTATAAGCATCCAACCAGTTATATGCATTTGCATCATCCAGAATTCATAATCTACCAAAATTTACGGTACATTTTAGTAGGATCGTCCTAAATTTCCTTCCAAACACTCAAAATTTTTTAGCTGGCAATTTTCAAAATAGCAGGTCCTATATCGACTGTCGGATTACTGTATATAAATATTTGTTCATCTCGAATAATGCGCTTACGCTGTCTTAATTGCTGATTCAATTTATCTTCGCTACTGGTTTGTTTGGTAGGTTTTTCGTTTTTTATTTATTTATTTATTTTTTAATTAATTTGAATTTTAAGAGAATATTTTATTTAAAATAATTTAAATTAGTAATGTGTAATTTTTCTAATAAAATAATTCGAATTTTAATATTTAATAAAAAAATTTTACTGTTATTTATTTTATTTTATAAATTTTTATTTTTTATTTACATTTCAATAAAAAAAAAGTTATTTTTATTTCTTATTTACATTTTAATAAAAAAATTATTTTTATTTCTTATTTCTTTGTTTGCTCATTTTTTTAAAATGTTTTTTCGTTTATTTAATGTACTTATTATGATTGTGAATTGTGATGCTTTCCAACTCTAATGAATTTCTCAATTTCGAATTTTTGCATTTTATAAAAAACATTGAAGATTTCTAATATGAAAAGTGATGAAACTGAAAATTTTTGCTTTTCTTTTTTTTTAAAAGGCAAAAATTTTAGTTTAAATAAAAATTTTAAATAATGCAAAGTAAGATTAATTGTCGCACTTTGTCACACTTTTTTCATTCATTATTTATTTAAATATTAAATTTTTTTATTTTTTGCATTTTCATAACATTAATTATTTATTAAAATATTGAATAATCCGTAAAATGCTTTTTTTATATAAATTTGTTTTTTTTTATGGAATTTTTTCCATTTTTTTTCCATCATTTTTTAATGCAATTTGCATTTACATTTGTTTTTTTTCCATTTTCCGAAAGTTTTTTATGTTTTTTTTGAAAATCGTTTTCAGGTTTTTATTCAGTCGAGTGCATCGCACACCGCTCTGCTATGTTCACTTTCTCGATTGTTTTTTTTGTTTTAGTCGGTATTTTCGTTGCGGAACACGCTGATCCATTGAGTGATGCGGATCATTTTAAGGTTTTTCATTTATTTTTTGAAATTTTGAGAAATTTTACGAATGATTTTTTTGTTAAGCCAATCTTTAATTTTTCTATTATTTTTATTTGTATTTATTTTATTTTTCCGACAAACAAAATTTTTTAAACAAAAATTTTCGATATATAATAATATAATTTTGATAAAAATCAAATGAAATTATTAAAATTTTGATTTTATTTTTGTTTCTTTTTTCTTTTATTCATATTTATTTATACTCTATAAAAAATAATACTTCTGGCTGGGGAACACGATTCGAAATATGATCATGAAGCTTTCCTTGGTAAGCAAAGCGCTGCTGAATTTGATGAATTGACACCGGAACTGAGCAAAGAGAGACTTGCGTACTATTTTAATCATCTGAATTTTTCGTTTCATTTTTATTCTTTATATATTATTATATTATATTAAATATATTTTCTCTTATTAGAAAATTCGTTTAATAACCTACAATATTTAGCAAATTCTTTCCTAAAATGGACTTGAACGGTGATGGATTTGTTGAAGAAAATGAACTCAAAGAGCATATAAATTTTATGCAAAGGCGATATGTGGATAACGATGTTGAACGAACTTGGAAAAATTATAATCAAGAAAAAGTCAAAGATGGACAATTGTCGTGGGGAGATTATCGGTTTGATTTGAATTTGATAGATTTGTATTTTTTTAAGGGTTATTTTGATTATTTATACATTTATTATGCTTTTAGAGAAATGGTTTATGGATCTTCGGATGGTGAAGGGCAAGAACTATCTCCTGAATATGCAAAAATGATCTCCCGTGATGAGCGCCGTTGGAAAAAAGCTGATTATGACTCAAATGGTGTTTTAGATCGTACGGAATATGGTTGTTTTATGCATCCAGAGGATTGCGATCATATGCGAGATATCGTTGTGCAGGTTTGATTCTTCCCACTTTATGTATTGTTATAATATTTATTGAATTGTGTTTTGAAAATAAGATTTTTTATTTATTCAATTGTAGTCTTTAGCAAAAATCATTGCATGAAATTGAGGAAAATTTATCATTGTTTAATCGAACAAAATTTTGTAAAATAAATGAGATAAGTGAGCATAGGAAAGATTTTTCATCGTTTTTTCTATTTTTTGTTAAATATTGCAGGAAACTGTCGAAGATATCGATAAAAACAAGGATGGCTTCGTTGATATGGATGAATACATTGGTATACTTGTCATTTTTTTAAAACAGCATTTAATGGCTATTTAAATCATTATCAAACTTAATTATAGGTGATATGTATAGACCAGAAGATTATCCGGAACTGAATGGAAAGGAACCGGAATGGGTAGCCAGTGAGAGAGTTATGTTCAAGGAACAGAGGGATAAAGATGGAGACGGCAAATTAAATGAGGTTAAATGAGGCTTTCATAATAATCAATAATAAAATCAAAAATTTCAAATTTTTGATTTTAAAAATTTTTTGTAAATCTTGCGAAATCATTCGATTTCTTCAAATTTATTTAAGAAATATCTATAAACATGTGACCCAAGAATATTTTCAGGAAGAAATGAGAGATTGGATAATGCCTGTGGGTTTTGACCACGCTGATGCTGAAGCAAAGCATCTTGTTGGTATGGCTGATGACGACAAAGATGGAAAACTATCTATTGAAGAGATCATTGCTCATTACGATACTTTCGTTGGATCTCAGGCCACTGATTACGGCGAGCAATTGCAAAAACATGATCCTAGTGAGCTGTAAGGCCCTTTAGCGATTTATAAGGTGATATTTAATAAGTTATCATTAGGGCACATTTAATATCATTTATTTACTTTATTCTCGTTCTCGTTATTGCATAATTTTCTATTTTCGAGTTTGTATACCAAATTAATTGTATTTTTATTTCTTATAAAAAATTGGCTGGCATTTTTAAAAATTTGTTGCCTTATTTGGTGAGCCTATATTTTTAATTCGTTTACCTAAAAGATTTTAAAGTGGTTTACATAATGAAAATGCTGCTTTATTTTTATAATTTCAGGGCTAATTTGTTAAGCAAGAAGTTTTTTTTTGTTGACTTAATTTTGCTTCGTGTTATTTTAGTTCATTTTTTTCAAATTCTTATATCTTTATTTTGTTTATGCTTTACTACTTAAATAAAATTGTCTTCCAAAATAGAATTCTCGATTTTTGATTAACCTTTCATGAATTATTTTTAAATTTGAGAAGAATTTTAGATTTTACTGTTCTTTTGTGCATAATTTATGAATATATCTTCAAAATAAATACATATATCAAACATTCCATTTTTACGAAAAGATATCGAAATTACTAATAGTTTTTTAGATTTTTTCCATTCAAATATTAATATTAAATATGGATTAATATTGAAAATTTAGCAAAATTTATTTCGTTCTTTATTAAAATTAAAATTAAAATTATCATTAGCAGGGCGCAATGAGCCTAGTCAGCCAAGCCAAAAATAATTCAAATTTCATAGAATATTCAAGTCAAGTTCTTTCAATAATTTTCGCTAAATCGTTTCATTGGCTGCGATCTTGATTGATTTCAAAGTTTAGGCTCGCTTCGCTGGCTAGCTACATTGAACGAATATTCCTAGTAGTCCAGTAAGGATGGAAGTTTATGTGAATAGCCAGCATCAGAATTTTATCACAACAAGTTTATCACAACGAGGAATAGATCAATCGTTATCACTATCGAACTTCTTTTTATCTTAACTTCTTTTATGTGGAATAACGATAAAATTTTGGCGAAATAAACGAGAAATTAGTAAAAGAAGGCGTTAAAAATCTTAATGATAAGCAAGTTCGACGAGTATTTTACAAATTTCGATTGGCGATCAAATAATCGATCGACCCATTTTTTCAATTTTATTCTCAATTTTCTTATGGTAACATTGTATATATTCTTCGTATGAATCGATGGATCGATGAATTAAAATGTTACACTGGTTCGGTTTATCGTTTTGGATATTATTCGTAAAAATTATTCTCGAATATTTCTTAATAGTCTCAACATTTGATGTTCCATGTTCGCGTTAGTTTCACTATTGATAATTTTTAAAAATAAAAATTAAATTGACTTTAAATGTTTAAAAAAACTGAAATATTACCGGAATATTTAATAAAATATTTTAAAGAGGCTTTTCAATCCAATTTAGTATTTGATATTAACAGTTATGATATGATAAACAGTTATGATAAAAGCTCGCTTAAAAGCGAGGTGAATCAATCAAGATTCAGTCATGTGGACTGATACAGTAGGGAAAGATTTTGAACGTGTAGAATTTTGAACCAACGATATATGGGCTTAGACGGTAGAAAAAGAAATTGCTTCTATTATTATCAGCGATGATATTAGGTCTCGCAGTTTGGAAATATCTTAACGTTGTAGTCATCGGGACAAACCTAACCACTAAACGGTGAAAGAGCTGTTCGAAAAAAAAGATAAAAGCTAAAATGAAGCAAAAAATTTATTTCCTTATTGATAATCTTTGATATATTAAAAAATCATGTGTGTATGATAAAAATCAATTCAAAATCAGTTAGAATAAATCAGTAAATCATTATCAATTTTTGTCGAAGAAAAGAAAAATCTATGTATATCTATTCTATTCATTCCATTTAGTACAATGAAAGAATATTGCACTATAGTAATTTTTGTGCATTTTTAAATGGTTCCTTTAATCGTACCTATCACCTTTCACCTTTTCACCACTTTCCATCTTTTTTTGTGCTTTATAAAGTTTATTCAAATCCAAATAGTCTAAATTTTCTTTAATTTGGCAAAATTTAATAAAATCTAATAATCAAAAATTTAAATATTTCTATGAAAAAAAAGAAAAAATTCTTCTAAAGCAAATTTCAAATTATGGTTTATATATACAAAAATTATATGAAAATTTACTAATATTTTTGAACAAAGATTTTATTAAATAGAAATGGAAATTTTAATTAAAATAGAAATTTTTTAAAAATAATAAAAAATATTTTTTATATAATCACAGTACATAATTTTTAATAAATTTATTATAGAATAATAAATTTTCGTTAATTATCGACTAAAAAAACTGAAATTATTAATATAAATGAAAAAACTAAAAATTTCAATTAAATTTAATTTTTATTTAAAATTCCTCGTATTTTTATTTTTCTAATTTTTTATCTTTGGAAATATAGTTTTTTTTTTTGTTTTTAATTTCTAGAAAAATTAATCGGAAGTAATTGTCTTTTTGATGAGGAATGCTATGGCATGAACACCGTATGTCGAGATGGACGATGCACTTGTCCAACACATTTTGAAGAATTCGATATTGATCCACAAACTACAGTTTGTCGATTAGGTTTAGATAATTTTCATAATTTTTAAGAACCATCACCATTACTGTTTAGATTCGCTGACTTATCCGCACTAGAAAAATATGCCAGGAACTATCCTCAGGCGATAGAAATACAGGTGAATCGTCGGGATCAGATACGGATTTCTGAGCTAACAGATTTACTCCTTCGAGGAGTGGAACTTCATCAGCATCATCGCTTCGAAAATTGAGCAACAACCTAATTTAATAAGCAAATAATTAGAAAATATTTACGGAGCTTTGAGATATGTTCGATTCGATTATTAGTTCTTTACGAATCATTTTTCGTTCGTATTTGAATAAATACAACTGAAATTGGAAACTTTTTATTTAAGCAATCCTATATACTAATTTATTTTTCGATACCAAAAAAAATAAAAAATTTCAGCACCAAGTAAAATTGGAGATTCATGCCAACGTGACTGCAAGCCACCATTATTATGCAGAGATGGAAAATGTGAATGTTGGGGTGGAAGTATTATTAACGGAGTTTGCGTTGTGCGTACGTTTTATCTTAATCGCCTTCGGCTATTGTGCTAAAATCAGATTTATGGCATTTATCACATTTATCAGATTTGTACTATTAAATTTTTATTTTTTAATCCAAGTGCCGAAAATTTAAATTTTTCATTCTTTTTTCTTATCAATCTTTTCTTATCAATATAAGGGAGGAATTTAATGATAAAGAAATGAAATCAAGAGAAAATAATCAATGACCATCAGTTTTCCATTCTCAGAATAATAAGTAGTCTTAATTTAGCGTGTCCACTGGGTCAGCAACTTCATGGAGTTGAATGTCAAAAAGTGGCGCATTGGGGTCAGCCATGTGAAAAAGACACTCAATGTATTGATGTTTTTAACCAATGTGTTGGCGGTATTTGTCAATGTACTCCTGGCTCATCAAGAGACTTAATGAGACAAGCATGTATCGCAGGTGCACATCTATTTTAATTTCACTCTATTTCGACCTGCTAGTGAATGACGATGAATATAGTTGTACTAGTATCTCATAAAATTGCTTCTTTATTAAGAAAATTAAGAAAAAATTAATTATTAAGAAAAAAAAAACAATTAATGGCAAATATTTTTATTATTTAGAGAGTGCCTATTAAAATTTATTCTACCATAAAAACTTGTTGCTTCTGTGAATTGGCTAAATCTATTTAGAGTTAAATCAAGATGGGATTTATTTTTTTTTTATCAGTCTTTATCAATCTTTATCAATATTTTCTATAACTCATTTTGAACTAAATAACTATTGCAGTTTGTCCTGATGGAACGTATCCCAAGCAAACTTGCCGGCGCTTATTTCTCAACGATGTCGATATGCTTGAAAATGCAGCTACAACTGATAGTTGTCCACAAGGATATCGCTGTGTTACATATGGTAGTCCATATATTGGGCACTGCTGCAGACTGAAATGCCCGTATGGAGAAGCCGATCTTACGTAATCTTTTAATAATCAATAATCTTTTAATTTAAAGTATGATCCTATAAGAATTATTATCGCACCATAGACATCATAGATTTAAGATTTAAGGTTGCTAGGAATTTTAGATTTTTAGAACTTTATGACGATATATAATGAACAAATATATTGGATTCGTCCTACTTAATAATCCGGAAATACATTAGCAATACAGACAATCTTGCGACAAAGGTGCACCAGAAGATCGACGATGTCGACAGCTTACGCATCATTGTTATACAGTAACGGAACCTGGTTGGAAGTCCAGCTTATGCTGTCCGAAACCGTGTAGAGATCCAACTCCGCTTTATGTCGATAATAAATGTTTAAGCATCGCACATAGAAATGATCCGTGCCAAATCGATCAACAAGTTTATTTTATATTATATAACAATCATAATGTGGTTAGATCCTTAGGTCCTAAGTTCTTAGCAAAAGAAATTTTCAACGACCATAAATTTCTTTATTTTCTCTATTTATAACTAATATTTTAAGTTGTTACGAAGAAGTAAAGAAAGTCATATTTCGCTTCGATTAATATACCAACTAAATTATATTTTTAAAATTTCTACTGTTAAAAATGAAATTTAAGCATTGGTCTTAAAGATTTTCTATTTTCATTTGGCTTTCTAATTAGTTGGTCCAATTTGTATAATAAATTAGACTAGCCAAAGCAAGAGGCCCGTTGATGCTAATGAATCACCTATATTTTTATCGCCAAGGGATTCCCTGGCATATTTGTCCATTGCGATAAGGCCAGTGGAGTGAGTTTAACCAGTGATGGTGAGGACTCTTAAAAAAAAAAGAAAAAACCAAAGCCAGAGGAATAATAGCAGAATTTTTCAGTGCGAAGGTGGTGTGACTATGTCTTGTATTTTGGCTACATGTCATTGTAAGATCGGATTTCATGAGGTATTTATTATATAATATATCATTATTATGTATTATTATTATTTTATTATTATTATTTTATTATTATTATTTTATATTATTTTATTATTATATTATTATTATTGTTATTATTATTATTATTATTATTATTATTATTATTATTATTATTATTATTATTATTATTATTATTAATTATTATATATCATTTGCCATTGATATTTTTGATTTTTAAATGTTCGCTTTTAAAATGAATTAAAACTGAATTAATGCTATATTATTTAGGATATCGCTATTTGTTTCATGATTAAAATATTATATAGTTGTATATAATGATAATGAAATCAGAATTTAATAGAATTATTCTTAATGATAAAAATAATCATATCGTAGAATAATGATGGTCGTTTTGCAACATGCGAAAAGACATGTAACATTGGTGAAATAGCGGTGATGGATAGATGCTTACGCCATGTTCAATTAGGTGAGCGTTGTGTTGATAATAGGCAATGCCCGAATTTCTCCGAATGTCGTTACGGAACTTGCCGTTGTATTTGTGGTTATAAACAGGTTTTATATTATATCATTTCATCTATTTCATCTTTTTCAATATTATATTTCAACTAAAATCTAAGTATTTTACTTATGAAACGAATAATTTGAGAAAAGAATTATAAAAAACAATAATAATTGCAGGATTCTTTAATAGGAGCACGTTGTACGAATCCCGACGATCCTTTCAGTTTGAATGCGATTTTAACAGGCGTTGAAGAAGTTTTGGGAGGACGAGCAACCGGTTAATAATCCAACTGATTTGTGAATGAACGATTATTATTAGCACATATCTATTCAATTTTCCCATGTAGAATAGTAAATTTTTTTTTTTTTTTCGATTTGGATTACTTATTTGTTATAATAGATGTGTAACTCTTTCTCATAACTATAGCTTAAGCAGATTCATATAGTAATAATAATAATAGAATAAAAGATTTATGAATTTTAAAACGATTCTTACATAATAAACATGAAAACAAAGGGGTTATTGCTCAATTGTGGAGTGCCAATGTTAGGATTCTATTCGCCGCTGGATTGAAATGTTATTCAAGGTGATGCTGACGATTCGCTTATATTTCTATCGTCAGGGAACTTCTCAAGCATATTTGTCTAGTGCGACAAACCAGTAGAGCGAGTCAAATCAGTTATATTGAATGCTTTTTAAAAAAAAAAATGAAATGAAAAGGATTTTCAATTATTTTTATTTTTAATTTAGCATAATTTGTCATAAATTATCAAATTGCAACCAAATAAAGTAAAATTTTATGAACAAAACATTATAATATAGTACAGTGAATCTTGATGAACTTATATATTATAACTTATATATTAAAAAAATAGAAATAAAATTAGAAAGAAAATTTTCATTTATAAATATTTAAGAAAAAAATATAAAATTACAAAAAATTTATAAAAAAACAATTATTGAAAATGAAAAATATCGATAAATCTTCTCATTAGCTCTCGTCTAATCTATCAGATTAAAAGCGGGCTGCTTTAAATTTTTCTTTAAAAAAAAATATAGAAAAAATTAATAAAATAATAATAATGAAATAATAATAATGATACTTAATAAGAATCAAGTAATTAACAAACTAATAAGAAAAAAGATAAATACAGCCATAATAATTATAGTAAGCGGAATTTGTTTTATAAAAAAGCAATTTTATGGTGATAAAATGATAAAAAGAATTATATTGAGAGAAAAAGTAGTGAAAATTCACATGAAAACTTATATTTGTAGTTTATTTTTTTAATATACTGAAATATCACAAATAATTAATGAAGATGAATATTAATAACATTAATAAATATTAATAAAAGATTGGCTTAATTGCTAGTCGATTCCAGTTTATCCAACTGAGTCGAGCCAATAAATCTGTAAAACGAATAATAATAAATAGTTAAATAATATAATAATAATAATGAATAATAAAATATATAAAATATAAAATACAACAATATAATAATAATAAAATATAAAATATAAAAATATAAAATATAAAATATAATAATAATAAATAAATTCTACAAAAGTAATGATAAATAAATTTGTAATTTAAAAAAAAAGTTAACTATTACCGATTACTATTAATAAATATATCAAATTCGGATAAAATTTTGGTTTGCTAAAAGAAAAATTTTTTTTTAATAAAAAATTCGATTTATATTAAAATTGTTTTGTCTAATAAATAATAAAATCCATCATAAAATAAAATAAAAATCTAAAAATATAAATATATAAAAATATCTAAAAATATCTAAATTGTTTAATAATAAAATATAATTTTCAAATGTTACATATTCAATATACAAATGTTACATATGTTGTATTGCTTAAAAAATTATAATTTTTAATAGTACTTTAAAATTTTAAGTTAATAAAGTTATTAAAAGTAATTATTCTTAATTTAATTTATGAACACTATTCAAGTGATTGAATGATAAGCATAGCCATCGGCATCGAACTAATATGTCATTTATCGTGAAATCATTGTGACTACTGTCGATCTAATTATTCCTCTCTCTTTCTAAGTGATTTCCTGGCGAAATTTTTCCACCTTGGCAGTTAAATTTAAGCAAATCATATCAAAAAATACTAGAAATGTTAGCGAAATAAGTTTTGTCGATATCTATCTGATTTAATTAATTTACCGCTTGTACTCCAAAGTGGAGCATTTTTATCACCTTTACGTGCCAAAAATATGCATCTCGTCAGATAACTATGAATATCTTCGTTACGAGCTTCCAATATGTCTTTTAACAATGATATATAAGCAATTGCTAAATTTAAAGTGTCTATTTTCGATAAGCGTTTTTCATACGGAAATGTTGGAATACATCTTCGCAATTTCTGAAAAAATTTACGAAAAAAAACCATTTTTTTATTTGTTTTCAGTTAGTTCAATTGTTTTTTGTGAAAAAATTCATAGATATTTTGTCAAAAAAATCGCATTTTTTAGATATTTTTTATTTTTTATTTTCTTAAATATTTACTTTTATGTTTTTCTTTTTAGATATTTAGAAAATTTAGTAAAAGTTTCGTCAAAAAAATCGCATTTTTTTTAGATCGCATTTTTTAATAAATATAAATAATATTGTATTTTTTATATTTTAATTAAATAATTTTTGATTCTTAAAGAATTAAAAGAAATAAAAATAATAAAAAATTAATAAAAATAATATATGGCAAAATAAGAACCTAAATTGTATAAATTTTTATATAAGTTTTACTAATAATTATATTTTTTTAGTTACATTTTATAATAATCATAATTTTATTTTTTTTATGAAAAAATGAAGTTTTTTTTAGATTTTCAACATTCTTACCGCAAATGCAATATTAATACTGCACATCCGTTTCCTTTCTCTCACATTTGCAGCTCGTCGATTTTCTGGCCATTCAATTTGATTATCATAAAATACTAAATTAATGAGGATTAAATAAAAAATTATTTTTTAAAAAAGTTTGAAAAAAAAGGTTCGATAATTTCAGCTAAAAATATTTATTCATCAAAATTATTAATTAGTGATTACCAAAATTTTCTGGTTGGAATTGCATATCAATTAAAGAAACGAGATTCTGCTTGCTCAGATTTCTATTTTGTTTGTTATCCTTAAACAGGAAAATGAAAAATGAACTCAGAATAAAATGTAATATTCAAAATTAGCTAACAACTTATCAATTAATTTGTCAGCTTATCAATAAATTATCAAATGACCTAATGAAAAGACGAAAAAAAATGAAGAAATTTTTTCATTTAATAAAAATTTACATGATAATTACATCGAAATCGATGTAATCGAATTAATAAGTAATCCTAAGCGAATTTATTATTTAAATTAAAATAATGAATAAAAATGAGATTCAACCTGATTCAAAACCGTTTCTTCATTTTTAGAAATATCAATCGCATTTTGCATTTTGAAATTTTCGAAGCTACGAAGCGTTTATTAGTCGTTTAATAAACAATGCGAAATATTTAGAAAATCTTGAAAATGATTTTGTCATATACACACTTCATAAAAATCCAATCAAAATCAAGTGATCATGCGTGAAATTGAATAATTGTTTTTGGAAAAATTCTATACTCAGTTTTATGCATATAATTCATAGGAATTAAATGATAAATTTTAAAATATTAAAATTGAAATTTCAGAATTTTTGATTGAAAAAAATCCAACTTTTTATAAATAATTTACTTATGAATAAAATAAATATTTATTAATAAATAGAAAACTTTCATAGAAATCTCTAAAAAAATATAACAAATATTACTAATTTTTTGCATTTCACCTTCCAACATTCTTTAGGTAAATTTTTCGATTTCATTGATTATGTACTCCTTTTTGCCGACAGTTTTGACGAAATACAAGCGCTGTTAAACAACGTGTCAGCAGCTATAGCGAGAATCAAGGTCAATGTAAATAAAACGAAAATTTTTTCGTATTATTGATAAGAAGCTAATAAAATGTCTCTTTTTTATAAACTCATTACCGATTGAGGAAGTTCCCGATTTTGAATACCTTGGATTCACTCTAATGCCAAATGGCCAGGTAAACGACGAAATCAAAACTAGGATAAAGGCAGCTAGAAATGCGTTCTTCAGGTTGACGAAATATTTATGGAGCTGTTGTGAAATCACCATAAAAACGAATGTCCGCATCTATTTAACCGCAATTCGTTCAATCTTGTTTTATGGCTGCGAGACATGGCCAATGAAAGTGGAGGATATTAAGAAATTATCTGCCTTTGACCACTTATGTCTAAGATATATCTTATGAGTCCACCGAGCGGATAAAATCGCATATGATTGCATCCTCTGTCACTCAAATACCACTTGAATTAATGCGCCATCACAGAACCGTCTTCGTTGTTTAGGGTATATTCTTCGTCTTCGTCGTATACAACAGAGTTTGACACGTATTTCGTTACTTGATAAACCTTGTGATGGTTAGCGTCAAAGGTGGGCCAATTAAGACCTGAACTGATACGATCAGAAAAGATTTTGAACGTATACGGAGATTAGAGATAATGGTCTTAGACGATGGAAAAATGGGAAAGGAAATGGCTTTTTTTATTTTCAGCGATGGCGCTAAATATCATTCGATAACTGGGAGAATATTTGAAATATTAGTCATAATAAAAGTACAATAAAATATAAAAATATTATTGATATCAATATTATTAATAAAAATATAAAAAATGAAAAATCATATAAAATATATTTATATAACATAAAATATAAAATATATTTAGTATTACTATATTTAATATTTAATATAATAATAATTTAATATTAATAATGTTTAATATTTAATATTAAAATATAATATTATACATAAATCGAAGAAATGACATGATATAAAGGGTTTGGATTATGTATGATATGGCACATTCACATTCCATGATTTTTCGGTCATGATTCCCATTATTAGATTTAATATGAAATATGAAATATTATAACAAAAGTTTCTGTAATATCATGCAAAAATCACAACAATTGTGGATTAAAATATTCAAACAGATGCATATTAAGTGAAATGAAATGATTCAGTGGGTTGTTGCTCTCATTTCGAGGTACCATTGCTAAAGTTTCTACTGTTTCTACTTCTGGCGGACATATCTTTTAAAAAACCACATTATACCACCTGTACTTTTATCGCCAAATAATTAGTAAAGTTTAGTAAAGTTTGTCAAAATTTGTCTAATCCGTCAATTCGCAGTATATGCCCTAAAATTAAAATAAAATTGGTGAGCGCTTATCGAAAAAAAGAAGAAAAATCACATAATCACATATAATAAGTAATTAATAATTAATAATTTTTTGTATTCGTATTAAATATTAAAAAATATTAATAAAGTATTAATATTGTTAATTGGTTAATTGTTTCCCATAAAAAATTAGAATTGAGAATTTCCAAAATAAAGCTTTTCCAAAGAATGATTTTATATAAAATTTTGTATTCTTCCATAAATTCTAACAGATAACCACGGCAAAGAGGCAAAAATCAGTATCGTTCTTCTTGCTTCTTCGTTTGACTTTTCATAAATGATAAATATTAAAAGCCAAAGCAATTGGTAATATTTGACAATTATTTGCAGTAAAAATTTCATTTATTGTCGGATCAAACAAATTTTGCTATGGCACAAACGAGCTGCTAGCAGCATAAATTGCCGCAGGGATGTTTTAAATTCGATAAATTTTTGTTGGTAATTAATTTCGTACTAAAATAAAATTTTACTGAAACCTTTTGTTTCGACTGAATTTTTTGATCTTATAAATTGATATTCGTAAAAGCAAAACGATAATTTTTATTCACCGTAGTTTTTATGAAAATATTAAAATTTAAATTATTTCTTAGTTTCAAAACTGGAAAAACACATAGAAATACAAAAAAAAAGCCAATTTCGATAGAATCATTTAAATTAATGTTAAATTAATATTCGCAATTTTTATTCACATTCCTTATTTCCTTGTCGTATTAATAAAAATATTTGCGTCCTCGAATCCTCGAAGGGATTGCTTACCTATTCGTTTACTTAAAGAATATTCACTGCACCAAATACCGAACTGGTTTTTATTTCATACTTTTGTGAATCTATTTTACTATTTTCAGTTTGGAAAAATTTCGCATTAAATTTAAATCTATTATTACTATAGTTATTATCATTATCATTAATTTTAGACATTTTTATACTTATAATAAATCGATCACAATTTTGCGAAAAATTTTGCCAAAAAAATCGAATATTATTGATTTATCAGAATTGATATTTATGAAATATTTTTCAAAATTTATTAATTATATGTATAAAAAGACTTTTGCAATAATTTGAATTATTTATTTTATGAAAAAAAAATGGAAAATTAAGTTTTCAAAATTGGAAAAATATAACTGAATATTGGACTATCATCCAAAGCTGATTCAATTAGCTATAAACCTCGATATTTGTTAATTTATATTTATATAACAGTTTACGCGATATAAATAATAAATGAACCATTTGACTGACTGACTGGTTAAATAATTGGTTGGCGGATTGACTGATTAGCTTATCATTCTTTTTCAACTAATTGAAAGATAGTAGAAGTGCAAAGTGGAAAATATTTCAGTCAAAAATTTAGTTTTAAGAAATAAATGTCAGGAATGTATGAATGATATTAAATATTTAAACAATGATATCAAGATCAATGAAAATTGACATAATTTGTTAACATTTTAAAGATATCACTGATAATTTCATTGTTTTATTGATTGAAAATCGTATATTTTCGCAATATTTTTGGAGTAAAAAAGGGTAACTTTTCCTCTTTTGCAATAATACAATACCATCATTTTTTCATCGCAATTTTTTTTGCAATTTTCTGTGGCTCCACCGCTTCATAAAATGAATCTTCCTCGCTATAGAATCATTTGAGAATAAAAGTACCATTCATCACCAAAGTAGTACCACCAAATGAAAAATGAGATGAAAAATTTCTATGCCTTTGAAATACATGAAATAAATAGTTTCATTTTTAAAAAAAATTATATTTTTTTATTTTATGTGTAAAAAATTGAATGAATTTCTATTCTCCATTTTCTATCGCTTTTACGTAAAAAATTTTTCTCATGGATTTATTCAAAATATATTTTTTATTTGTTTTTTATAAAATTTATTCATTATTTATAAAATTTATAAAAAAGTTTGATTTTTATTGAATGAATAGATGTTAAATTTATTACGATTTTTAATGGTATTTTAGTAAATTCGACTAACTCAAGCATTGTTAGCGATTTGCCTCTATGTTTCTACCGTCAATTGAAATTTCCGGTGAAATTTTTAACCTTCTTAAAAGCCAGCGGTGCTAACTGCAATTTGTATGAGCACTGACCATTTAATTCGACTAACGTAAGGTTATTTGTTAAAATCCGATTTTTTATTCATCTTTATGAATCTGTTAATCGTCTTGACAAAAATTTATGATATTGATTGTATTTATTATCAGTTAAAAAGAAGAAAAATTGAAAATTTCATTTATTCACATCATTTTCATGCATTTAATCGTTTATTCATGCATTTTGTTTAATCAGGCATAGGCATTTCTACTGAATTTAACTCGTTCTTTGTTTGTATTATATAAATATATTACGATAAAATATCGTTAATATGGTGTTATCATAAAATTATCATAAATTTAACATAAAATTTTTGTATTAAGTTTAAAATGGTATAATTTAGTCGATCATAAATCTTTTTTTTATAAACGATTTTATATGCGTTTTTTTTTAACTTATACTTTTTTTGCATTAATTTCTAAATATTGGTTTTTTTCTAAATATTTTATTTTTGATAACCATTTTCCCTACTAGCAAAATATTTTAATGTCTTAATCATCATAAATTTTATATATACAATAATCATCATAAAGTACCAATAAAAATATAATTTTTTTATAAATTTTTTTTCGGTTTATCTCTTTTATCTCATATAAAATTTTTAAAAATTTCTTTTCTTTTTATTTTCTTCAGATTATTCAGGTTATTTTTTAAATGTTTTTCTTATGCCTGAGTGGTACTATAAGCTTTTATTTATATTTTGTATCAAAAATTTTTGGCTTTGATTTCCGCTCGCAAAATTTTCATATCGTACTGATAGCCAGTTGCCTAAACAGAAATAATGAAATTATTAACCGCTTTCTCTCATTCCCTCAATCGCTTTAAGTAAAAAATATTATCGGAGAAATTTTTTTTTAAAGAGCACTCCATATTTCTGGTTTGGCATATTCCGCTAACTTTATTGAGGCCATATAAATTTGACGATGGAAATCGTATCGATGCGGCTTGATTAATGGCTTTATTTATGATTTAATTAATTAATGCAAGTAGTTGCTGGAAACTCTCCTATATCTCTCTATTCCCGAGTGATTTTCTAACGAATCATCTAAATGCCTCATCGCATTCTATAATTATATTGCCAATCAAACCGGAAATGCTATAATAAGTAA